TCCACTAAGTTCTTGTCATCTCCTGAGCAGAAGTCTAGAACCTAGATGCTCTGGCAGAACAGGTCCTGCTTCCGAGTGGTGACCCTTACCTTTTTGATGAAGGTGGGGCTGAGGGTCTCCCAGGAAACAAAATCATGTTCCATCAGCTCCACAAAGGCCTTCAGGGCATACGCCAGAATCTCCCCTGTACTGGAGTAACAGACAGCAAACAGGGTAAGAGCAGGTGGCAGACTCAAACCCAGAAACCATAGGAAGGATGCATTAGAGGAACCTAGGAGGAGAGAGAAGGAAGAAGAAAGAAGAAGAAGAAAAAGAAAATGTTTCTATAAAAGCCAACTTCCCAGAAAAAAAAAGGCCAAGGAAGCAGAAGAAGATGGTGTAGAATCTTCCTAGGAAAACCTCAATTGCAACCACGATAATGTTGTCGAGGAACGTCTGTTTGTTATATTTAAAACTCACTCTGGTCACAACGGACAGTTGAATCCCTACAGTTTATGATTACTAATTGATGACTTCGCAGGGTCATTATGAAGAGAAAACAGGAGAAACGAACGGAGAACCACGCAGACTGAAAGGGAGGGTTAAAATGTACAAAGTTCTCTAAACACATTTGGGGTTACTGCCTGTTCCTTGGAACTAAACTGGACAGGCTAGTTCAGCGATGGGCAAGTTTTATTGGCTGAAGGTGGCACAGCGACAGAAAGCGAGGCCTAACATTAAAAATGTAGACTGAGCCAAAGGAGGCCTAAAACATTTTTTGGGCATTTGCCTTCCTTCAGAAAAGTGTGTTCCCCATTAAGGTCAGCCTTAAAAACACTGGTGCTCTTAAAATGGGAGTCACTGTCATATTTCACTGGCAAAGTGCACATAAGGGCATTGTAGGAGGCCATATTCAGTCCACATGCCATAGTTGTCCACCCCATAGCTAGCTGAGTTGCTGCAGAAGATCTCTTTGAAAGAGATGAGAAAGGAAACTCAGGCCAAAATCAGCTGTGTTTGTGAAGCACCCTTTTGCCCTGAAGAGACTCACTTATTATCTTCTTCCACAATCAGGAAGAGCTGATTAAGGCCATTCCTGCTAATAAATTCCTGTGCAAATGCCACATCCCGGGAAAGGCTTGCCAGCTTCTTCAAAGAGTCAGTCTTCACATCCACACTGTTGCTTTGAATACCCCCATGAAGTTTTGCTGCCTCTTGATCCTGCCAAGGAGATATTTGGGGGTCAAAGTTGATGATGTAGCCACACCTGGAATATTGTTACATACAGTTCTGGTCACCGAGTTCAAAAAGGAACAGGTTCAGAAGAGGAAGAGCAAAACCTATCAAACTTTAGGGCCTTTCTGCTTTAAGGAGGAGCTAAAATACCGGTGGCTATTTTATGGCATTGAGATAAAAAAAACCCGCTAAGGCAATTTACAAAGGTTTCTAAAATGGCACATGGTATGGAGAAAGAGAGAAATAGTTCTGTTCTCCCCACAGGGTCAAAATCCTTGCTGATCCAATGACCAGCAATAGTACTAGTACCAATAAAAGAGTATTTATCCCCTTAATAACTTATCCCCTCTGTTAATTATAGAGCACAATCAAGGAAGCAAGATTCACATGGACTTTCTTTAACTGAGTTTTAACACCAAGAATTAAGGCCCAGACTACAAAAGCTTGAGAAGTGAGATAGGAATCCCCCAGCCCTCCTTTATTAGTGAGTTCATTAGGGTTGAGTCTCTCTGAAGCTTCTGAATTTCTTTTTCCCAATTTGTTTGCATGTTGGGCTAAAAATCCCTTTCTGTGATAAGCCTGTAACAGCCTCTCTTATCTGCTGATTGTGTCTATAGATCCTCTTCCTCATTTCCTCTCTCAATCTCAGCACAATCTCTTACTATATATATGTATAACACATTATGCGGAATAGTAGGATGGCAGATAAGTTTAGCATTTGCATCAGTGTGCTTTACAAGAAAACAACAAGAAGAAATGACTCAAGGCAACAGCAAAAGTTACAGCATTAGCACAGCTTCCATGATTTCCCATTGTCCAGATGTGTGGGGAGGGCAACTCTTAAATTCCCAAGGAACACAACTGGAGGGGTCTAGTTGAGGAAAGCTGTGTTAAAACTTCAAAAGGAACACCACTGCAGCCTATCTCATTGCTTCTGCACTCAGTGGGCACATAAATATTTTCCTGATAATCACTGGAATCATAATAGTAAGGATAGTGAAATTCAGCCAGAGTAGCAAACACAAAACACAATCAAACAGAACTGATATAATTCCATGTTTACTTCTCTATGGATTTCCTACAAGTAAGGAGGAAAGAAGCAGTAGGAAAATGTGTAAGGGCTATCACGGGAATGATAGAAGATCAATGACCTTTGACCATCAACTTTCACCACCCAACCATTACAAATAAATAAATAAATGAAAATCTATGGAGGAAACTACATGATTACACAAAAAAGTCTCATGTGGAAGTATTCTACAACACTGCCTTAAAATGTTCCAAGTCTCCTGCACTGGCTAAAAAAGTGCATCACCATCATCCTAATGGAGTGTGTAAATGAGCAAACTGGAGTAGCCAGGAGGATGCAACGTGGTTATCTGGTTTTGTTGTAATGATCAGAATGCAGTATTTGCAAGATGACAAAAATCCAGTATGAAAATAAGAGAAAAAGCATGCAGAGACAACATGCTTGGAATCTGCGGGTTATAGAATAGATATGGTCTTTGAGCAAGTGCCTTTATGCACTGTAGGAAGAACATGGTCTTTGAGCAGAGAAACAATTCAGAATGCTTTCTAATTTACAGTGGGACCTACCGGAGCAGTTGTCAACTGCAGGATGCTCCCGTTCTTAATCTCTCCACGGTTCTAACAAAACAGCACAAGAAAATAATTGCACAATCAAAATCTTGCACTCAGAACAGTGGATAAAAGCAGCCAAAGAGGAACTGGGGAAAAACGTTTAAGTCAATCTTCCAAATTTCTATCTTGCAAACATTTTAACTAGCCTGCTAGGAAAGCTGAAAAATGAGAGACAGAAAAAGTTGTTTTACTTATGCTAATCACTCAGTTTCCATCCTTTTTTTTTTTTTTTTTGCCAGCCTACAACCTTCCTTGCATGCCCTTTTTAAACACAATGCTGGTCTATTAGACGCTTTCTCAAATGCACTCACCAATTCCGTGATGTAGGCTTGCTGGCCATCCACATACTGCAGAGCGTAGCGCTCAGAATTATTCAGGTTCCACCTGTGTTAGAGAACCCAGTCAGAGTTCTGCCCGGGCAGAGATCCCGAAACAATCGGGGGTGTATCTCCACCTCCCAGGAGAGAAACCAGATGTCTAAGGAGACATCTTTGTCTGAATCACACAGAATGCTTCCTCTGCTACTCAGCTAAGGAAACTGACCAGAGTTTTCTACAGTTTAATAAAATTCTGTATTTACCTGAAAGGAACATGACCCTCAACTGAAGAGAGTCCTCAAAAAAAGGGGGAAGGAATTAAGGAGAAAACTCTGTGAGTGTGTGTATTACACACACACACACATACACAGATACCAACATTCTGTGTCATATCTTTTTCAACCTCAACTTACCAATTCCTAAAGACTTTTCCCAACCTCCATGAACGTGTGCACGTGGCACCCAAGTCCATGTATGCGTGTGCACAAACCAGAAGTCACACCCCAAAAAAGAGATGGTCAGTTATACATGATACCTGCAGTGAGACTATTAGGTGCACAAAAGTGGAAAGACTTGACATTATCCTCAATGGAGGAATGGATGGTGAAAATGGCGAAGTTGACAGCTTTGATTAGAGAAAAGACATTACCTAAGTTTAATGCTGACTGGAAACCCCTTATAGACTTTTTGTGTGAAACAGAAAAAAATGAAGTTATAATATATGGTTCTGATGATTAGAAAAAAAAATAGATTATGGAAAAAAATGTAAATTGTGTTGTAACCAGAGAGTAAGAGGTTAATTTACATGTATCCCTATAACTGCTGTAAATAAAATTGGAACTTACTTCTTCATATTTTCTTTCTTTTTTTTTCCTGCACTTTTGGCTTTGTCTTCTTCTCCTTTATTTTCTTCTCTCTTTTCTTTATTCTAAAGATTAGTTCTTTTTTACCTATTTTACCTTTCTTCTTAAAAATTTTAATAAAGTTATATAAAAAAACAGTGTAGTCGGGACAAACTAATTCCTCATACTAACTGAATTAACTACCAATTAACCTTCACTTCTTTTACAATGAGGCACCAATTTGTAAAATCGATTCTTCCCTCCCTTGCACATACGTACACAACCCATCCTCTTTCACAGACACAAACCACCCTCTCTTATATGGACAAGTATACACCCCTAATTCCAACACAAAGTGATGGTGGAAGAGAAGATGAGAGAAGGTGAGGGTGAAGGGTAGCGAAGAGGACAGGAAAAGTGAAGCCACTGCTGTGGCTTCTACCACATTAAGAGCCAGAATCTAGAAAAATGCCTGCTGTCAGTAGTTGGGGAGCCTCATTGATCTAGAGACTCCAAACAAGTTAAAAGAGCTTCATTCTCAGTGAGACAGAAGAAACCGTGCCTCTTTCTTTCAACAGGGTCTACCTCCATTCTTCAAATGTTAAGATCATCCTTCAAATTCCCAATGATCATTCTGAACTGAACCTTGTCTTCCTTTCAGGCAAGTTTGATTTAAAAAAAAAAATTGGTTCAGCAAAAGTGATTTCTTGGTGAGTTGGTTATTTTTAGTTGATGGGCTTCTAAAATATGGAGAAGGCAAGACCCATCTTCTCAGTTACATGGACTTACCCTCTTCCCTGTTATGTGAACTGCCTGAGCTGAGCGTAATAAAAAATGTTTGTTTTTTCAAAACTACAACATTTAGGTAATTTATGAAAATGTAAGTTGATTGGATAAATTATTTGGATGCTAGTCAACTTATTTTAATTACACATCCGTTTTTTAACCATTTGAAAACAACAGTATCAAGGTGAACAAAACCTATTTACTTTTTAAAGGAATATTTGGAATCATAAGCAAACTGAACTAATTTGTTTTGATTTTCAACATTAAATTCTGTTTCAAGATAGCGGAATATTATGATCAACATAAATGCATGGAAAGACATTGTACATATTTCAGTGTAAATGCCCAAACATTTCGCCAAATATATGTAAGCTTTGCTAACAGTAGACGAAATCAACCAGTTCTGTTGGACAATGGTACAAGATGTTTGTGTTATTCTGTAGCAGCAAAAACAGTCTGGTTTCTTAAGAACAAATTAATGGATTATGGCATGGATGTAATGGACTAGAATCTATCCCCAAAAGATTCGGTACCATAAAGATATTAATCTTTTCTGCTTATGAAAAGCATAGGGCCCTCACCAAAGATCTCTAAAAATGTTTTTTCAGTGAAATGTTCAACAGACACCACTCACCTACTTTCAAACATGTCTTTACAACTGACTCTAGCAGTGACAGCTAGAATTGTGTTTGTTTAAAATAAAAAAAGGGAATTCTACATCAGATTCAAGAAAGCTGAAGTACAGAACAAAACTAAAGGCAGAAAGCAGACAGAGCCCCTGAAAAAACGTATTTAAGTTATTATTTAAAGCAGCTGTGGAAAAATATAATACGTTTTTGCAAACATCTGGGAGGCACTAACGTCTATCTGGAACTGTTCTAGGAATCAGCAGCACGCTTCTTGCTGCCTGAGCTGACCTGCTACAAGGAAAGTAAAAAAGAATAGCAAAAAAGAACAGCTACTCACACTTCGCAGACTTCTTTCACAACGGCTGACAAAGGCTTAGCCTGTAATTAAACATAAACAGCACGTGAAGGTTTCAACATGAGTTAACCCTTGGGCAGACCTTGTGCATGGGAAATAAAATCGGGCACTTCTGTGCTGGAGCACCTCTTCAAAGGAGAGTGTGCAAACTGGTCAAAAACATACCTGATTCAGTTCTATGAGCTGGGGAATGGCACCCATCATTTGCACAGCAATTTTGACAACATCTTTGGAAGGTGGCATGGTTCTCCCCGCCTCTGGTCCCACCTGCAGGTAGTTCCTGAAAAAGCATTCAGACACCCATCATCAAGTAACCATAAGAGGGGTCAAGAAGGAATAATCCGGTGCAGGCTACAGAAAAGTTTATTGCCAGGATATCTGATAACACACAGGCAAAACACAACTGCTTTTGCACCTATACACAAAACAGGGCATTTGTGCAACTGACACACATGGGAAACTGACTCACAGACTGCATGCTGGCTTGCTCTGTGCGCCAGCTTGAAGCTAGGCACTTAACCACCCTGAAACTTGAGCTTGAAATATGAACTTGCAAACTGAACTGAAAAAGACTTGCACGTCTGTGTAATGTGTAGTAGTAGTAGTAGTAATAATAATAATAATAATAATAATGTGTAGTGTAACATGTTATGCAGATTGTCTCCAACCCCATCACCTGCAAAGGAAAAGCAGAGCAGCCTCAGTGTATACAGGTAGCCCTCCTTTAGTGACTGTTCAGTTACGACGGTGATAAAAAGTAACTTTGCGACCAATCCTCGCATTTACGACCTTCACAGGTCTGTAAAGCAAAGGAAAGCTGAAGCAAGGGCATAAGCACAGCTGCGGTTTCACTTAGTGATTGCTTTGCTTAACAACCAAGTTGCCAGCCCCAATTGTGGTCACTAAACGAGGACTACTTGTAATTGGTGTTATCTTCCCTTTGCCTGACCAAAGTGGGCCTCAAGGAGAGGAACGGTCAAGCCTTCTCTGCCGTAAGAGGCCCAATCCTAGGAAAAGACTCAGCCGCTTTAAAAAGTTACAGACGAGTAGAATCTTTGTGTCTTGGTGTGCTTCAAATGACCCTTTCAGAATCAAATTTGAAATGCTGCACAGCTTGCTGCAGACCATCATTGCCTGCTTGCTTCCTGAACTTTGTTTAGCAAGCAAGCAGACGTGGGAGAGAGGAGGAGGAAAGTAACTTAAAATCACATCAGTCTGACAGGAGCCACTGCAGAGTGTCTATTAGTTGGAGGAGTGGAGACTTAACTAGAAATGAACCTAATTCTAGGAACTAGTCCTCACCTAATGTTTAAAATTAGAGGTTTGTCACTTGGATGATTCAAAGCACTTCCTCTTAATTCGATGGACAGCTGGCCTGCTTGTGCTATTCCACCAAGAGGACTTTGCACATGACCAAGCGCCTACTGAGGGCGAGACACAACTTAATTCCGGGTCTGAATCCTGGCACCGGTTGATGCAGCCCCTCCGATCACCCGCCCCCCGCTCAAAACTCCCCCACCCCAGCACCTTTTGGCTCCTCTTTTGATCCTGCAAGCGCCCGGACGCAGAGTGACCCAGCTGGGTCCGAGCCCCCTGCGAAGCCAGGGAGAGGTCTCAGCCCCGGCAGGCCTCCATCAAGAAGGACGGCACGTCCCGCTTCCAGCTCAGCTCAGCCTACCTTACAGGGTTTCAGGGGAGGGTGGAAACAAGCTGTTTCGGGTCGAAGGAAAGCTGAGTTAGCAAGGCGGCTTATTCCTCTTTTGTTTATCATTCCGCATCGTCCCCCGGAAAAGACAACTTCGGAGTGAAACCAGACCGGGCCAGGGCCCGGAAACCCACCCCACTTTTCCCGAAACTTTGGAAAGGAAGGAGCGCCGCGACTCCGCTCCGCGCCAGCCGAAAATCGCGAAGCCCGCTTACTCGTCCGCCAGCAGCTGCCGAGTCGCCCCGCTCCCGGGGAGAGGGCGCCTTCGCTTCCACCTCCGCCTCTTAGCTTGGGCTTCCGCCGTCCATCCGTCCCCGGACTCGGGGCGGGGATGAAGCAGCCGCAGCGGCCCAGCGGCGCCCGGCCCGGCCCGAAAGAGGCGTCTCCGAGCCGGCTCCCGCGGAGAGGACGGCGGGCGCCCCTTGGCGATCCGGAGCCTCGCGCGGGGATGGCAAGAGCGCAGGAGGACGCGAGCGAGCGCGCCGCAATTGC